AAAAAAAACTACGTTATGCAGAAAAATAAACTGAAAAACTTTTGCCTCAAGGTCACATCGAAATTCTTTACCAATTTTTAAATAAATAAAAAAGTTTAAAACTATTATTTTTATTTTTATTTATTTTATTTTTTTGGCCCGGCCGGGCAAGTGACCCCGGGCCACTCTGGTAGCCTAGAAATTAATCGAATAAATTCGAATTTCATTATCTTCAAAATTTAATTTTCCCCTTTTCCTTTACCCCGAATTTTCTGCAATTTTTCCTCGCCAAATTTTATTCCATTTGAAATTTATGTTTCGATTTTAATTTTCTTTCCCAAAACTTTGCTCCCGAATTTTCATTCCCCCCCCCTCCCCCCTCTCATGACAACTTCCTCTAATCCGGAGTTAAATCAACCATCATTTTGCTAAATCGGGATTAGAAACCACCCCCACATGCCACCCCGCCTATCCAAGACCTCCCAACGCGCCGCCGCTCAATGGTGGTTAACCGAAGCCAACAACCGCCGAGACAACGGCCTTCCCCGCATCACCTTCCTTCAATGGGCCGACCTTCTCATTGCCACCTTCACTCCGCAAACGACCATCGATGACTACATCGATCAATTTTGCAACCTCCACCAAACCGGCCCCACTGAGCGATTCATCCAATACGTTCGCTCCCTCCGCCTCCACATCCCGTCGACTCTCATTCCCGACTACGTCTTCATCTCCCGCATCAAGCGGATATGCTTCCCCCACCTCACCGCAGCCCTCGCCCATGAGCCCGAGCTCCTTCTCACCGATCTCCTTACCCGCCTTCTCCACCATGATCGCCTTCCTCACCTCCGCTCTCAACGACCAGCCGCCCCCAACCGCACCCGGTTTTTCCACAACATGGCCTCCGATGACTCGTTACTCCCCTCCGACGACGGCTTTGACTCCTCTCCCGAGTCCCTTGACCCAGCCCAATTCACCGAGGAAGACTTCCAGGTTGTCCATCTCATGAGGATGGAACGGCAATGCCTGACCTCCCAGCTTTCCTCCTCCCCCCAACCCCCTCGTCTCAAAAAGCTCACCCCCGCCGAACGCACCTTCCTCCAGGCCAACGACGGTTGTTTCCGTTGCCGTCAGCTGGGGCATCAACAAACTAAATGCCCCAAGGCCGACCGCTCCACCCACCAGGCTTCCCGCCCCACAGGATCCAGCCCTCCCACACCCACTTCCTCCTCCTCCACCGCGGCCTCTGGGCCCTCCTCCTCTTGAACACTGTCCCTCCGCCCCTTGTAACCATGTCCTGGCATCAACAATTCGTCTGCCAATCCCTCCGCCCCTTGTAACCATGTCCCCAACCCCTCCACAATCACTTTCTTCGATCTCGTTGAGGAACAACACCGACACACTCGGCTTGTTAGATTAGGCCTCGAGCAGCGCCGCCTCAACGCCATGATCTCCTCCGTTTGTGTCGGGACCGCCCAGTTCCAGCTCAAGTTCGTCGCCGTCTCCTTTGGAGCATCGACGGTGAAGTTCCGGGCCCTTCTCGACATTGGTGCCATCGACAACTTCATCACGAATGCCTGTGTCCGCAAAGTCGGCCTCTCTTCCACCGGCTATGATTCCCCGATCACGATCCGCCTAGGGGATAAGGACTCAGCCATCGTCGTCGACCGCACAGTCCCCGAGACCACATTGACTGTCGGCCCTCTTCGCAGTCAGGTCTCCTTCGATGTCATGCACCTCATGTGCGACATCGTACTCGGGACTCCTTGGCTCGACCGCTACATGCCCTATACCTTCCACGCCTCTTTCGTCCGCCTTTCCACCCCCCCCGATCCATCCCTTAACATCCCCTACCTTCTCCCTCCCTCCACCCCTTCCCCCGTCTCTCCTCACCAATTTCTTCACATGACCCGTGAGCACCCCGACTCTGCCTACTATTGCCTTGTCATTGACCGCGACCGTCCCGAGGACTTGCTTCCAACGGACAAACCCGACCAAGACCCCCCCTCCGACCCTCAGATCTCCGCCCTCCTATCTGAATTTAAAGACGTGTTTCCCGAATCCTTGCCCGCCGAACTACCTCCCGACCGAGGTGTTTCCCACACCATCGATCTCGAGCCCGACCACTCCCCCCCTTGTCGCCCCTCATACCAGCTCTCCGTCCCCGTGGCCGAAGAAATGAAGCGCCAACTCAATGAACTCCTTGAAAAAGGATTCATTAAGCCTAGCTCCTCCCCCTTCGGAACCAGTTGTCTCTTCGTCAAGAAGAACGGCACCTCGGAACTCCGCATGTGCATAGACTACCGCGCCTTGAATCTGATCACGATCAAGAACAAGTATCCGCTTCCCCGGATATCCGAACTTCTTGATCACCTCCGTGGAGCCAAATACTTCACCAAGATCGACCTCCGCAATGGCTTCCACCAGATCCGCATCCGCGAGGAGGACACCCACAAGACCGCCTTCCGCTCCCACTTCGGGCACTACGAGTTTCTCGTAATGCCTTTCGGTCTCACCAACACCCCCGCCACATTCCAATCCACCATGAACCACATCTTCCGCGACCTCCTCGAAGTCTGTGTCGTGATCTACCTCGATGACATTCTTGTTTTTAGCCCCACCTTCGAGTCCCACCTTGATCATCTCCGCCAAGTTCTCGCCATCCTCCGCGACCAGAAATTCTACGCCAAGCTCAGCAAATGCACATTTGCTGCCTCTAGCGTAGAATACCTTGGTCACATTGTCTCCGTCGACGGCATCCGCATGGACCCCAAAAAGGTCTCTGCCCTCGTCGAGTTCCCCCCTCCCACCACTTTAACCCAACTTCGCTCCTTCACGGGACTCGCCAACTACTACTGCCCCTTCATCCACAACTTCTCCGACGTTTCCTACCCTCTCCATGAGCTCACCCGTGCCACTGAACCCTTCGCTTGGACAGACGACCGCCAAACCGCCTTCGACAAACTCAAGGAGTTCATCACCACTGCCCCCGTCCTCAAAATCGCCGACCCCACTCGCCACTTCTTCGTCACCAAAGATGCCTCCGACTTTGCCATCGGGGCCGTCTTATCCCAGCACTTTCCCCCCGACCCTGCGGAAACCCCTCCATCAAGGACTCCCCCACTCACTCCCAATGCCCACCCAGCGAGCACCCCATCACATTCGCCAGCAAGAAACTCCTTCCCGCAGAAATGAACTACCCATCCAACGAGAAGGAGCTCCTCGCCGTGGTCTACGCCCTCAAAGTCTGGTGCCCGTACCTCGACGGGTAATGCTTCACCATCCGTACCGATAACATCGTCGTCTCCTCCATCTTGACCAAGAAAGACATCAGCCCTCGCCAAGCCCGCTGGCTAGACTTCCTTGCCCAATTTACCTTTACCATTAGTCACACCCCTGGCAAGAGCAACCGCGTTGCCGATGCCCTCTCCCGCCGCCCCGATCACAAACCCCCCGAGAAAGTCTATGCCGCCATGATCTACATCCAGCTTCTGCCATTGCTACACCCAAGGATACCTCTCTTACCCCGACTTCTCCACCATCTACAACAAACTTCGCGACCTCGACCCCGTGAGAAAGACTGAACTTGCACCAATGAGATTACAACATATACATACATGAGCTATAGAGCAACTAGGAAGGAACCGACACATCACCAAGTGAGAGAAAGACTGAACTTGGACAAATGAGACTACAACACATACATACATGAGCTATGGAGCAACTAGGAAATCACCGCCACATCACCAAGTGAAAGAAAGACTGAACTTAGACAAATGGACCTACAACATACACACACATGAACTGCGGAGCAACTAGGAAGGAACTGGTACATCACCAAGTGGGCGAAAGACTGAACTTGCACCAATGAGACTTCAACACACACACATATGAGCCATGGAGCAACTACGAAGAGTACCACCATATCACCAAGTCAGGAAAAACTGAACTTGCACAAGTGAGAGTGCAACATACACACATGTGAGCTATGGAGCAACTAGGAAGGCACCGATACAATACCAAGTGAGAGGAAGAGCTGCATGTGAGTGAGACTTGCTCAAACACCTGTATAACACTAATGGAAGCATCCAGCATTGAATCAGATCATTACAAGGTGGAGAAATGGACAATTTGGGAGGTTAGGATCACCCAAGTGCCTCCATGAGTGAAGTTCAAAGTAATGATTTTCCCCCAAGTGGCGGGGGGTCATAAATCTTGAGGTGAGAGTGAGTAAATATTTCCCTCAAGCCAGGAATGTCATAACCCAAAGTGGTGATTTGCTAGGGGGTGAAGGAAATGACTATCATGGAGACACCACTAATATAGGAGCTGCTTTCTATCTCTTCCCTGAAGAAGAAGTAGAAGATGAAGAGGAAGAAGGAGAGAGGAAGGAAGAGGATGAAGAGGAAATAATAATGAAGAAAAGGAGAGAAGAAGAAGAAGAAGAAGAAGAAGAAGAAGAAGAAGAAGAACAAGAGAGAAGAGAGAAGAAGAAGAGGGAGAGGAAGAAGAAGAAGAAGAAGAAGAAAAGGAAGAAGAAGAAGTTTCTCCTCCTTGTTCCCACTCACCTCTCCTTTCTTCTCTTGATGTTGAAGATCAACCTTGATGAAGTTCCTTCCTCCTCAATTAGCTATGACTCTCTTCTCCCTCAAGCCCCCACCTCCTTCCTCTCTGGGCCTCCCCCTGGTTATGGCAAGCTCCAACTACCAAGGCTATGGAGTCTTCCCCTCTAGGAGGGTTAAATGGGTTCCTCCAAACCTCTCTCTCTCTCTCACAGCCTGGGGCTATGGCGGAGCACCGTCACTCACACTAGCTCCTATGGCTGCCTCTACTAGCCGACAACACAGCCTCCTTCAAGTCTCCCAACTGGCAGCGGTTCCCCTTATGAGCTCACTTGGGCAGCATGGACACTTCTCATGCAAATGTGAGTGCGGCGGACTGCTCCCTCAGCTTATATAGGCTGAAACTGGTGTACCGACCAGCCCATGAGCCTCCCCATGTGCCTCCAAGTGAACCGAGATACCCCAAGGCCAAATTYCACCAYTAGGCCTCTCCGGGGGCACKTGAGCCTCATTTTGGCCAAGTACATGCAGTCCGAGTGGCTGGTACCAACTCGGACTGCCTCTTGGCCTCCTCAAGCCTCTTTTGCCTTCTCAAATGCTGCCCCCTCGAGTTCAAATGCCCAAGAGGCAGCCTTACTTGAAAGAAAAAGGTCCACTTTTTGTTGTTTCTACCCAATTTTGGGTAGCCGAGATATTTTCTCACATCTCGAAGCAATCTCAGCCTTAGATCTGACTGAGATCGAAGGCCAGCATTATTTCGAGCTACCCCCAAGTGGTCCTTGCTTCAATTTTGAGCCCCTATGCTCACTTTTTTAATTTTTGGTGCATCTGGTCTTCTTTTTGGGCCAAGTGCACAATTTCGGGTTTTTCCTTCTTTTGTTTATTTCTATTTTGGGATGCCAACTCGTTCTGGATTTGACCGTTTGAGTTGGCCCCACAAAAAACGGCCATATGCTCTAAACCATGAGATCTGATCTCAGATCCATGACTCACAAAAAAACGGTCAACCCCTTTTTGCTTTTCCACTCATGTTTGCCTTTTTAAATTCATATATTACTAAGATAATGACCCAAGGGCATTATCTCTGCAATCCGGATTGCCCTCCACAAAATCAGAAGGGATGAGATCACAGTAGGGACGTGCCAGTCCCTACTGTGCCAGTCCCAACTCGCCGGCACATTCTCCTTCACTCTTTTCACCCTTTTCGTCTCATTCTCCCTTCTTTTTCTCTTATTTTTCTTTTATTTCTGTTGTGACAAGTGTCAAGATGTTGTGCACCTTTTTTCTAGGCCTTAGAACCTTATTCATGGTCAGGTTCATGGTCAGCGATTGGTCGTTGCAACTCGGATTGCAATAATGAAGCCCCCATCCTCATGGGGGTTCCTTTTTGCCTCCGTTTCTTCATTTTTAAGCCCCCTTGTGCTCCGATTTTTACTTGGCAGCTTACTTTCTGCATAGAGTTCATTGAGGCTCTATTTTCTAGTGCCTTGCTAGTKCGAGATATCTAGGACTGCTGGGTAGTCTCTCCTTCACCCTTCCTCTCTCATTTTGGCCTCCTAGCACCCTCTCCTAGGTTCGTTTCAGTTTTGCACTCATAGTGGCTAATATTTTTCACCGTCAAGATTTTGATCTTGACAACACTGCTTGCTTCCACACTCCTCTTTGCTAACTCATAGTTCTCTAGGGACTATTCAAGTCCTCTTGATTCTCCAATGCCAGTTCCATTTTCTAGTCCCGGCGATGGTCCTGCCGGCTCGTGTCCCAAATTTCAACAATTTTTATTTGGACCCATTTAGTGTCCGACATCATTCCCGGTGACGTCTCATTTTTATTTGGGGCTTCCTTGTCCCCGGACGCCCCAATCCCTTCTTCTCATGGGCCTCAAGTGTCATGAATATTCTAGGTCACGAGATCCAACATCTCGCGACCCTCAATTACCGTCTTCATTTGCCCAAGCCGAGGGCGCTATTTTCTTGTGTTTTGGGGGAGTCAAAACTCTTTTCTTTAGGCCTAGGCACCCTCGTGCAGTCCGCTATTTCGCGGACTGCTATAATGGTCTTTTACCTAGCCTCATCGCCCCACCAGATTCCTTAAACTGAAACAAAAAGAAATGGCCAACTCTCAATTCCATCGGGACTCAATATTGGCTCCGGATGTATCTAAAACATGTGTGTTTTCCTCCCCCATGCAATCCGTTGTATCTCGGCTGCATGGGGCCTTGGTTTTTCTTGATTTTCTCTGCAAAATCAAAAGGAAATTAAGATCCTTCGCAACCGCCATATCCCGTAATGTATTTGGTCACAGATGTATCTCCCCAAGTGACCATTTTTTACCGTTAAGACTCTTTTCTCTTTTCTTTTATTTTCTTTTCCTTTATTTCCGTCCATTTTCGGACAGTAGGGAGATGCCAGTCCCTATTTGTGTCAGTCCCTACTGACGGCCAACTCACTCACTCCCTCTCACTCCTCTTGTCTTATTCTCCCGCATTTTCTTTTCTTTTTTTTTCTAGGCCCTTCCTCTTAGTTGTGGCCCTTCCTATGCCCCAACTGCAGTCCGTTATTTCTCGAACTGCAATTGGGGTTCCCTCATGCACATGGGAGCCTCCTTTTGCCTCCCTATCTTCCAAATCGTGACCCCCTTTGCTCCGATTTTCTCCCGGGAGCCTATTTTTCATGTGGAGCCTCTCTAGGCTTCACTTTCCTCAAGGTGGAGAATCCGAGATATTTAGGATTGTTGCTATGCCTCTTCCCTTGCTTTTCTTTTATTTTTCTTTCTTTTTTGGCCCTCCGTTTGCCTCCACTAATGCTTGCACTAGTGGTGCTAATATTCTTGATCGTCTAGACCTTGATCTTGGTGGCACGTCTTGCTTCGGGCATCCTTCTCTTATGACCCTTTATAACTTTGTCTTGGGACATCACAAGTCCAAGCTACTTGTCCCGCGCTAGTCCTCGACTGTTGTCCTGCGCTAGTCCCCGACACTTGTCCCGCCGGTGGTCCCGCCGACACTTATCCCGCCGGTGGCCCCACCGTTACTTGGCCCCATAATGCCATTATTTTTACTTAGTCCCCTATGGTCCCCGACACTTTTTCCTTGTGGTATCCCGGTTTCTCTTCGTACTCTGCTTCCCATTACTGCCTTATTTCTAGTCTCCTTTCTATGTCCCATGCGCGCCGGTCTTTCCGGCCGCGGTCTTTTAGTTGGCTCATGGCCCTTTGGTCCTTCCTATGCCGCACCCTGGTGGCTCTCCTTGGCCTCATGCTCCTACCGGTTCTTCTCCTTCCGGGAAGAAGGGTCACCTATATTATTCTCTTGCGGCCCTTAGTCGCTTACTATCCTACTAATTTCTTCTTGGTCCACTTGTTCCGGCGGCTCACGACATTCTCTAGCCCCCTAGGCGGCGACACTTATGCCTTAGCCTTCCATCCTTCCTATCCCTCTTGCCTCTGGTTTTCTCCGCTATGCACAATTATGCCATATACCATCTCTCAGGGGTCAAGACTTGTCTCGAGACCCACCGGTCCCGACACCGTCCTACCTATCCTACCTGCGTTCATGCAACAGGCTCACTTCGACTTTGAAGACCAATCTACATGTCGTCAACACCAACGCCGACCTCCTCGTCTCCCTCATCACCCTCTGTCCACCCACTTTTACGGTTCCTCCTGCAGATCACCATCGCCCTCCTCTGCCTTTGCACCCTGCAGCCCGGCTATGGCCGCTAGTGCCCCGCTGCCCTGCAGCGCCCTTCACCACCTAGCGCCAACACACACCCCAGCCAGCCAGCGCACGTGCAGACACTTCAGCAGCATCGCAGCAGCGTGTCCGCATAGTCTGCCTAGGCCAGAACGCCCTTCCCTCGCTGACTTGCTTCCTATATGGAAGTGGTTGCTGCTACTGGACTCCCTGGGCCTAGCCGTGGAAGTTTCCAGTAACTTCTAGTTGGGCCCCAGTGTTTGTGCTCTAGCCCATCTTGACAGTTGCGGGCCTGGGCCCTTTTCAGTTGGGCACACCCAACATTTTCCAGGCTCGAAATGTTTGCTGCATTTGCATTGGCCCACAAGGTAGATACGATAACAATGTTGCTTTCTTGCTGACCCGTGGCCACTTCCCGATGTGTCGGCCTCAAAATGTGTATGCCCAGGGCACAACCACCCGGGCTCTGGGCTCAGCTGCCTAACGTAGTTGCTTCTTCTTAGAGAGCCCAGAGAAGGCTCAAGTTGCACTTCAACCAACTGTTGGGCAACAACTGTCTGAGACCCGCATTGGAAAATGTTGAGATAGGGGTCTCTCGTGGATATTTAGGCCCGCCTTCACTTGGGGCGGGCACGAGGCTTGTTGGGGGGCGACATTCCAGAGCATATGCATGTTGCCTAGGGGCCCCTGAGGACAGAGTCCTCACATTCTATCCCCCTTAGCTTCGAAAGTCCGTTGAGATGCTTCTTTGCAGGTGCCTTCCCGTTCAACCGTCTCTCATAGTCTCCCACAATTTGAGGTGTTGTCTCAATCAATTCCTCCCTAGTGAACCATCGGTCTTCTTTTGGATCAGTATGATGCCTGAATCTGACCCTGTATTCCCTCTTGGGTTTCGGCGGTCTCCTTCTGCCTACAAGCTTAGGAACAGGCATGTCTCTGTTTTAAAACATGTCGTCGATGTCCACGTGGCCATCCATGGTTGGGGGCGGCGTAAATCTCCTTAATGGGAACTGCTGTGTCTCAACGAAAGGGTGCAAACTTTGAGGCGTGAAACATAGGGTAAGTGCGCAGGTGACCTGGGATTCGGATCACATACGAGGGACCATCCTCTTCACTACGCACAATATCCAAAACTTCCCAAGGACTGAAGTATTGAGGCATTAGTTTCGTAGAGATGTGGACTGTCATGGATGCCAAATTTCTTCCCTAACTCACTAGACTCAACCAAGACACATTCCCCTATCTGAAATGTGGACTGTCATCGATGCTTGTTCTCATAAACAATCACTGCTTCTTGAGATTTCTTGAAGTGTTCGATAGCTTGCTTCAACAACTTCTCATACTAGACACCAAATTCAAAGTTGCAGCAGATCGATTTTCAGGCATGCGGAAGTCTAGAGAAAATCTAGGCTTCCACCCCACGTGTAGCTGATTTGGACTGACAACAATGGTGTTGTGCAAAGCATTGTTGTATTGGCTGGTGGTTAGAGGTAACTTCTCATCCCAGTCAGTTGGTTGGGCTTTATGTAATGCCTCAATAGATGCTGCACCACTCAGTTCATCAGTCCAGCTTGCCCGTTGGCTTCGAGATGATTCCCAGAAGCCACCCGGAGTTGGCTGCCCACCAGTTCTGCTTCCACATTTCATTTGTGAAACAGACATCTCTATCGCTAACGATAGTCTTTGGCAGTTCAAAGTCACGCACCCAGTTATCCATGAATAACTTGACGACGTGTTGAGTCCTCGCGGTCTCTAGCATGGCAATCAGTCTAGCGAACTTAGTAAACCTATCAACTATGACGAACATATGCCTCTTGCCACTCTTGCTGGTCACAAGGGTATCCATGAAATCCATGGAAACACTCTCTCTCAGACAAGCGAGAATGGATAGAGGCTTGAGTAATCCAATCGGAACTCGAGTCCGCAACTTGTTCTGCTGATAGACTTGACAAGTCTGAACGTACTGTTTGGCTTTGTCCAGCATACCAGGCCACCAAAATCGTTGTACCAGATTTGCACTAGTCTTCTTATAGCCAAAACGTCCCATTGCATTATGACAATCTCCTAAACATAAACTACGCAAAATCTCACTAGCTAGAACAACTAATCTCTTAAACCCTACCTTCTCAAGAAAGAGTAACCCGTCCACCATCACAAACTCATAAGATGTGGCCTTGTCTTGGGCCTCAAGTTTGCGTATGATGTCCATCGTGACAGGATCTTCCTTGTAGGCTTCCATATTTACGGCCACTTGCACCGACTTCCGCAACGAAGTGCCCCTCTCTAGGACCTCTTACTTAATGCAACCCGAGACTCACAAGGGTCCCTTGCCGACCACTAATTTTGCAAGTCCTCTAAGGCCTCAGACACATCCAACGAACAAAGAATCGTTGGGTCAGGATGCATCACCGGGGTGACTAAAGAGTTGATAGCTTCGGCCAACTCTTGAAGTGGGAAGGTTACATCGCCCACTTCATGAGGAGGAGAAACAACTATAACTTCTACTGGCCCGGTGTGTTTCCCGAGTTGGAGCTCGTAGAAGCCTCACTATGGGAAGAAGAGTTCCTAAATCCACCTTTGGGAGGTATCTTCTACGCTACCTTCACGTTCTTGCATCTAAACTGTTATTGGTCGTACTCGCTGCATTTGATGCAAGCTCCTCGCGAATAGCGGTCCCGCCACACATCTTGTTCCAGACCGCCCTCGCCCAAGCTGGTACCTTGTTTGAGTTTTGGGTCGGCCCCTGACTCTTTTGTTCACCGCCCTTGCCGCGGGCGCCTGCCCTAACCTTTACAAGCGAGGCAAGGTTGCTACCCTCAATACGATCGTGATCCTCAAACTCTCTTTTGTCTGCTAAGTCGGAGTAATGGTCGATCTCGGTTTGATTCCCTTTGGCATCAACCATCATCAATCAACAACCTTTCTTTTTCCACTTTTATGGACTTTTCTTCTTTCTTTCGTCTGTAAGGGTTTGTTGGCCTCCTCCTAGCCTAGCCTCTAAGTCTAGGGTCTTCTTGTTGAATGAGTCCAGAGTGTGCTATTCGATGCTGGCTTGACTGACCAGCAGGTTCTTGACGTCTGTGGGAAGACATCTAAGATACATGGTCATGARGACCTGTGGATCATAGCGCACACCGGGGACGACAATGAGAYGCTCCACGACTGAGGTAAGCTCACGCGTGGACTTGTACTTCTTAGTATYAAGCCGCGTCAACGCGTCAGTGGCCTGCTGGGCCTACYGCGGTTTGTGCCATCGTGTTTTTACCAATTCCATGAMGCTCTTAAGAGCAYGGRTCTTAGCCCAATCATTCATGCACCTACCRAACCCTTTCGAGGCTACTAATCCATCTAGCCATCGAGTTGTTGAACCCTCTAGATACGAGGCGACAATGATCACCTCTTCCTCTACCCGTGTCCTCTTTGCCATGACCCACACTGGCACCATTCTCAACCAAGTGTCGAGAGCCTCATCATTCTTATCACCTGAGAAGGTTGAGGGTGGTTTCAGGGAAATCTTGGGGTACCAAGGCTGTTGTTGTCCCTCTAGTGGGACCGGCTGTTGTGTAGCACCAGCCGTTGAACCAGAAGATGAAGAAGCAACAGTCTGTGTTGCTGCAGCTGCTGACGTACCTCTTGGTGAACTGCTATATTGAGACATAGTAGGACTAGTCATCACCAGAGAAGAAACTGGTGATGAAAACACCGGACGCCGAAAACTGGGCCCACCTATTGGAGATGGGAAAGCTTTCTCATTCCCTGCATTGGTGCTTAGTATCTGGTCAAGGGTATCCTGGATAGCATCCAGTTTGCTGCCCATGTATGCATGCATGTACAGAAGACCTGCCTTGAGAATTCTCATGTTGTCACCAATGACAGCGTCATCGAACCCTTCTACAAAAACTTTGAATGCCTTCCTATTCTCTAGTCTAGTTTTCCTAGTTCTAATCTCATTTTCTCTTTCAGTAGCTTCTCTAAGTTCCTTCTCTAACCGTAAGCGGATCAACTCCACTTGCTGGAGTTCAATGGCTTCTCGAGTACGTGGAGGTGGTGAGTTGTACTGCGAGCCCACCATCTCGCTGGAAGAATTGCTTGTGTTCACTTTGCTGGATGTGGCCTGCGAATTCTGCGGCATGCCAATGATCATCTCACCAGATGTAGCGGTTGAGGTAGCAGCAAAAGTAGCTATAGCTGTTGCAATGGTTGTTGCCGTTGCTAGCGCTTGCTCGGCTGCTGCTGCCGCTTCTCTAGCTCTCTGCAAGCGTTCAACTACTGCTTCCTGTCGCAAAGCCCTCTCTCCCTCAAAGGGTTTAGCTTGGTGCACAATTGGGATCCTAAGGGACTCCTGATGTGCCACGCTCCTTCCTACAGATCTATCCTCACCATGGCCTGATCCACTCATCAGCTAGGCAGACACTGTCTGCACTAATGCCCTCACTGAAGCCTACCCAAACATATGTCTGACTAGGTTGTAAAAACAAATAAAAATAAAATAATATCTGGCAAGTCACCTAGGCTACTGTTCAAGCGGTATCATTCACATTCACACAAACTGTACATACGATCTACTCTTATCTCAATTAGTTTCACTCACAACAACTTCGATTATAATTGGCTACAACAGAATACTACAATACTAATTTAGGTTGTATGTTGGGTGTTAGTAGTGTGTCCACCAACTAATCAAAAATAAAAATAAATCATGTGAGCAGATGTATGCACAATCGATATGGTTGTGATATACAGTTGAGCATCAATTGGAATCCCCCTTCCCCTGTATCCAACGTACCTGTCCTCATCATCAAGCAACGGTGTCTAAGGTGTGCATTAACGGCCCACCCCTGTGCCCAGGTATGCTTATGACCAATATTGCCCTTTTTTTATCCTCACGTTGTCGGGACCTCTGGTTCTCGAACATTGTCCCGGTCGGTGAGAGCCGATATATAGCGAAGTTGTGCACGACAGAGGAATCCAGAGAAAGGAGACAAGAAGGAGAGAAAAGACTAAGAACCGGGATGGGACCCCTGAGACGAATGATGCCCTGGGCTGAGTGCCGCGGGATGAAGGGACCCGGCGACGTCGAGAAAGTAAGTGACAGGACGTGGGCGTACGGAGGCATAACATGGGACCAAAAGGGTCATTCGAGTTCGGCATGACAAGGGCCCGAGGGGCCATGAACTGAGCAAGCAAGGCACGGCGGATGACAAGAGAATAGTGAAGTCGAGAGGTGGACAGACCTGGTGGCCACGAGACACTAGAAAATAAGGGCCCCGACGCGCGGGCCACCTACGACAATTAACGGAAACCATGGATTGGAAGCGCCACTGCCGAAGAAACTGACGCTCGCGGGGCTCGAGAAAAGATAAGGAAAAGGGGTCACTATAGGGCGGCAGACGCCAAAAGAAACCGGGACACCATGAGGAAAGGTACCAGGGACCACATAGGGCTAAGTAAAAATAATGGTATCCGGGACAAAATATCGACGAGACCACCGGCGGGACGAGTGCCGGCGGGACCACCAGCGGGACAAGTACCGGCGGGACCACCACGCGGGACAAGTGTCGAGGACGAGTGCATGACAAGAGGCGGGGATATGAAAAGGCCTCAAGAAGGATTGTGGAGCGACATGACGGAAAAATAATTAAAAGTCAGATCTACCGTCAAGATCAAGATCTTGACGGCCAAGAATATTAGCACCACTAGTGCAAGCACTAGTGGGAGCAAACGGAAAGACAAAAGGGAAAAGAAAAAGTAAAGAAGCATGAAGGGGGAGGCATGGGAGCAATCCGAAAAATCTCAGATTAAACTCCCTCAAGACAATGGAGTCAAAAGAGACTCCATGTGAAAAATAGGCTCCTAGGATAAAATCGGAATATGAGGGGTCACGGTGTGAGAGAAATAAAACTAAAAGGAGACTCCCATGGGCATGAGGGGCCCACAGTTGCGGTCCGAGATATAACGGACTGCACCATGGGCATAAGGAGACCGGAACTAAGAGGAAGGGCTTGGAAAAGGCCTTAACGACTACTTGACACTTGGCATACTCGAAAAGAAAGAAAAAGAAAAGAAAAAGGTGGGAGAATAAAACAAAAGGAGTGAGAGGGGGTGAGTGAGTTGACCGTCAGCAGGAATTGCCACAAGTAGGGATTGACAGGTCCCTACTATCCAAAAAGGGAGGGAAATGAAAAGAAAAGAAGAGAGAAAAGAAAAGAAATGAGAAAAAGGTATTAACGGTAAAAAACGGCCACTTCGGGAGATACATCCATGACCAGATACATTTTGGCATATGTCGGTTAAAAAGTATCTTGATTTTCTCTTGATTTTACAGAGAAAATCAAGAAAAATCAAAACCTTATGCAACTGAGATTCAACGGATTACATGAGGAAGGGAAAACACATGTTTTAGATGCATCCGGAGTCAATATTGAGCCCGAATGCACTTGAAAATTGCCCGTTTCCTTTTCCTTTAGTTTTGGGCTAGTTGTAGGGCAATAGGACTAGGAAATTGACCGCTACTGCAGTCCGAGTTACAACAGACTGCATGGGGAGGGAAAACACATGTTTTAGGTGCATCCGGAGTCAATATTGAGCCCGAATGCACTTAAAAAAAAAACACTTCATTTTCTTTCAATTTGGGGCAAGTTGTGGGACTGTGGGACTAGGGAAATGACCACAGTTGCAGTCCAATAAATAATGGACTGCATAAGGATGCCTAAGCCAAGAAAAAATGAGTCATGGCGAACCCAAAAGGCTAGAAAAAAATGACTTCCGCATGGGGCAAATAGAGACGGTAAACAACAACCGAGCGATAAGGACCTCGTGGCCGAGAATAATCGGCGCACATGACGCACTTGAGGAGGGGATATTGGAACTAACAGGGACAAGGAAAGTCCCAAAATAAAAATGGGACGTCATGCGGGATGATGTCGTGGACTAAATAGTCTTAAATAAAAATAGTCGAAAAATTGAAATTGCGTCGGCGGGACTACCGGCGGTATAAAAAAAATAGAACTAGTACGAGGAGAGCGACAAAGACTTGAGATGTCCCAAGGGAACCATGAGCCAACGTGAGGAATGGTCACGCAAAGCAAACAGCACCGCCGAAATCAAGATCTAGACGGTGGAAAATATTGGCACCATTAGTGCAAACACTAGTGGAGTCAAGCGGGAGAGTCATGACAGAAAAGGAAGCAAAATAATGGTGAGGAGAGGGCTGCCCAGCAATCCGGGATATCTCGGATTAGCTAGGCATGAGAAAATAGAGCCCCAAGGGGCTGAACATAAAAAAAGGGTTGTCAAAAGAAAATCGGAGCAAAGGGGCCTAAAAAATTGAGACTGATGGAGGCAAAATGAAGCCTCCTTAAGTGTGGGGGCTTCATTATTGTAATCCGAGATATAACGATCAAGTGCTGAGTCTGAATCTGGCCATAGATGAAGATCCATGGTCTAGAAAAAGACTCAATTGTCATTTGACACTTGTCACATCGGAAATAAAAGAAAAAAAAAGTAAAAAAAATGGAGGGAGAATGAGACGAAAGGGGAGAAAAGGGTGAAGGAAAATAAATCGGTCAGTTGGGACTGGCACAGTAGGGACTGGCAGGTCCCTACTGTTACCTCATCCCTCCAAAAATGGTGCAGGACAATCCGGATTGCAGAGACCTTGGGCATTATCTCTACAATATCTGAATTAAAAGGCAAAATTGAGAGAAAAGGCAAAAGAAAAATGACCGTTTTTTTTTTGGACCATGGATCTGAGATTCAGATCCATGGAGGAGGGAATATGATTGTTTTTTATGAGGTCAACTCAGACGGTCAACTCCGGAAATAGTTGGGAGCCCAAAATGGAAAGAAACAAAAAAAGGAAAAAGACAAAACTGTGCATTTGACCCAAACAGAGGGCCAAATGCACCAAAAATTGAAAAGATAGGCTTTGGGGCCCAAAACTGAAGCAAGGATCACCAAGGGGTAGCTCGGAATATTGTTGGCCTTGGATCTTTGCCAGATCCAAGGCTGGAAAGGCACAGAGGCATGAAAAAATATATCGGTCTACCAAAGATAGGTTAGAAACTGAAAAGATCGAGAAAAAGGCCCACTAGGCCGGACCTTTTTTCCCAAGTGAGGTTGCCCTTGGGCATTTTGGTTCAAGGGAGTAGCTTCAGGAGAATGGGGTGAGGCATGAGGAGGCCCAAGAGGCAGTCCGAGTTGGTACCAACCACTCGGACGACATGTACTTGGCCAAATTTTGGCCCAGATACTCTCGGAGAGACCTACAAGTGAAAAATGGTCATGGGGGTACCTCGGTTCACCATGAGGCACATGGGGAGGTCCATGGGCTGACCAGAATACTGTGTCCAACCTATTTAAGCCTGACATGAGTCCAAGAGAGCACCACTCTCACTTGAAGTGAGAAGAGGGGAACCCCCGCCAGTTTGGGAGCTTAGAGGAGACTTTGGGCTAGCGTGACGAGCTCTAGAGGTTGGTGGTAGTGAGGCTGGCCTAGGAAGGTAATCCGCCATAGCCCCCAGGCTGTGACGAAGAAGGAAAGGCTAGAGAAAGTCCCCTTAGACCTCCTAGAGGGGGGGACTCCATAGCCATAGTGATAGGAGTTTGTCACCATCAAGAACGGACTGAGGAGGAAGGATGAGAAGGGTGTGAGTTAGAAGGGACCCATAGCCAAGTGAAGAAAAAACATCATAAAGATTGGTACTTCAACTCCAAGATACTAGAGGAGGTGGGTGGAAAAAAAGAAAAATCCTCTTCTTCTTCTTCTTCTTTATCATCTTCCTCCTCCTCTTCTTCTTCTTCTTCTTCTTCCTCCTCTCCTCTTTCTTCCTCCCCTTCTTCTTCTCTTACTCCTCCATGATTCCTCATCTACATTCCATTTTGTTCTTCTTTCTAATCTTCTCTCTCTCCATAGGTACTTTCCAAAGCTTAAAGTAGGTAGTAGGAGGCTTTTTCACAAGTAATGATCTTCCAATTGACTCATTCTTCACTCCAAAGTAAATCGTCACTTTCCATTTTGTGTTTTCATGCATGGGAGTGAGTTTCACTCATTCTCCCTTCACTTTCTCTCAATTTTTTCACTTGGTGGTAAATCGCAACTTTGGTTTGTGCTCATTCTAGTATTTTGCATGATTTTTCTCTCTTGTTTTGTCAATTCCTTCACTCCAACTCTCCATTTCTTTACTTGGTAGTAAATCGCAACTTTGGTTTGTGCTCAATCTAGTGTTTTGCATGAACTATCTTTCTTGTTTT